CATTAATAAATGACGAAGGGACATTATCACTCTCAAATAATTAGATCCCAACATTATACATACTAGAAACAAAAAATACTAATGGATAAAATAATTTTTAAGAAATACCTACAAAAAACAGCAGTGTTTTATTTTTTAATTAATCTTCACTCAAGGATATTTTTCCATTTACAGATATAGTGGAAGGGGGAAGGGGGGGAACATCAATGTGAGAGAGACACACTGACTGGCTGCCTCCTGAAGAGCCCCAATTGGGGCCAGGGATCAAACCCAAAATCCAGGTACATGCCCTGGACTGAAATCAAACCTGAGACCCTACAGTGCAAAGGCCACGCTCTAATTACTGAGCCAAAATTAGCCAGGGTTACAAAGTATTTTTACAGTTATGAACTGAGAATGCCATCTTAATTATCCAAAAAGCCCAGAATCTATAAAAACAAAGACAAATATTAATATACACACTCAGAACCAAACAAAATAGTTAGTCAAAACAGGGAATTAGCAGAAACAAAATGGCCAATAATATTTTTTTAAAAATGATCAGCCCTCGCCAGTTTGGCTCAGCGGTTGGAGTGTCGGCCTGCGGACCAGAGAGTCCTAGGTTCGGTTCCTGCTAGGGGCAAGTACCAAAAAAAAAAAAAAGATCAAGATGAATGAACAAAAATATAAATTTTAACCTATAAGATATACAAAAATTTAAAGATCACTGACATTCAGAGTGGGCAAGGTTGTATAGGGAAAGATGCACTCATACTGCAAGGAACTTAAAAAGGCATAACATTTTAAAGGGCTTGAGTATAGTGGCAATACTTAAAAACATATACTCCCTTTGACCTAGCTATTCTGTTCTACTTATGAGAATCAATCCTGCAGATATTCTTGCACAACTACACAAACCTGCAATCACCAGGATGGTCTCTATATTACTACATATAATGCACAAATAATAAAAGCAACTCAACAGATGCAATCTGACACCATGAGAAGAGGGACAGAAACTAAACAACATTATATAGTAAATACTATATACTCTTATTTTTTTAATGAGTTAAAGCTGAATATACTGATGTAAAACTGTGAAAGATAAACACTGTCCTCTCTGACAGCTTTCCCTCCCATCTTTATTTCTAGAACTTGGAACTATGACTGATATTTTCCTTTTAAGAGCCATCAAATTGTGATTTCCAATTTTCTGTGGAAGACTAGCGATTTAAATTAGATTAATGTATTATGAGATACATAGGATTTTATAAAAGCATGTTTTCTTATACCAACTACATCATAAAAAAAAAGTATTCAAAATTAAGCAAAAACATCATTGCCTCCTCTCCAAAAATATAAAAATCAAATGTCGTTGTAAGTCCCCTATCCATGAATGCCTTCCAAAATAAGCTAAGTGAATAATAGTTTATGCAATAATTTCAACTTCTGAATGGCAAAATGATTCCCATAGCAATCTATGAAATATTTTATAAATATAAATTAGATGTATCAATCATCTATTTTATCTACTTAATAGCCAGCTAAAGTTAGTCATACATTTCAAAATTAATAATTCATAAGTTCCAAAATAAAATAAAAAACCCACTTCATGTTTTCATTCCTAACAAATGCTTTAATAATGGCCTCCTTAAGAAATGTGATATAGCCAGTTTCTGAACTTTCACATTTAAATTAAATAAAAATAACAATTAGCCTGGCCAATGTGGCTCACTGATTGAGCGTTGGTTGGCCCAGGCACCGAGAGGTTGCTAGTTCAATTCCTGGTCAGGGCACGTGCCCATGTTGTGGGCCCAATCCCCGGGGGTGGGGGTGGGGGTGGGGGTGGCATACGGGAGGTGGCCAATTGATGTTCTCTCATCAATGTTTTTATTTCTCCAGCTCTCCCTTCCTCTCTCTCTAAAATCAATAAAGAAAAAAAAAACATTAATGACACATCAATACCTGTTTAATCACAGTTGATGTTCAAAAATGGATAACTTAAAACTTTTTGATGGCATCACAGTTGATTTGGTTAAGTATAAATCTTGACTTCACAGTCTCAACTTTAAAATGATGCCACCTACTAAGTACAAAAAATTTATAAATATCTCAAATCATTTTCCTATCTTATGACAAAGGAATCAGTTATAAACGATAATCTACAAAAAGCTCTGTGGAATAACCTCCTAGGTTTATTAGAAACCTAATTATTTCTTTACTTTTAAAAAATGTTTAACATAATTTAGGTAGTTTCCTTATAATATAAAATTGTCATGCCAAAAAAATATATAAGAAAAGCTCTTAGAAGACTTTATTTCAAGACAGTGATTACCTCTGAGGAAGGAGTAAGCAGGAACAGTTGCAGAAATGGGGCTTAAGTTTTGTTGTTATCTTACATTTCTTAAAGTAAAACCTAAAAGCAAATATGTCTTTTTGGAAACTGATTCCCTGGGTTCTAAACAATTTACTATCTCGTTGTGACCTTGGGCAAGTACTTACTGTCCCTGTGCCTCAGTTACCTTACCTATAAAATAGAGATAATAATATTTCCTGCTATATAGAATTAAATTAGTTGATATATGCGAAGTGCTTAGAATAGTACCTGATATACATGGTAAACGTTATTGTTATTATCATCAGCTCATCATACACTGGGAAAAGGGAATGAGGGGGTATAATCTGTTCTACTTTCTACATTTACATTTCAAACATAAATTCTATTTTTGTAACCGGTGATAAATAACCAACTTAAGTGAGAAAGCAGTATAAAGTAGAATAACAAAGTTTTAGTCTTCTCTTCAATTTTTAAAAAACATGAGACAATTCAGGCTTTGGAGTTTGATATTTATTTTTAGCAGGAAGAATATGCTAATGATGATGACATCGTTAGAAGATACGCCATGTCCAACACCTGCAACAGAAGCTCAATAGAAGTTAAAGAAACCATACCAAAAGACTAAAGACAAAAACTGTATGACATTACTTACCCTTAATTCTGCTAACAATAAAACAAGTAACAATATGTTTATGATTGAAGTTCCATTACAAGATCAAAAACTGGTAAATTAAGTATCAAAAATATCTTTTAAATAAATTCTATTTTTTCCTTTTCTTGGAGAACTGGACAACTTCTCCAAAGGTAGAGAGAGCATGGTGTAAACTATGTTCTGAGAGTATATATAAGGTGGAGCAAAAGTAGGTTTACAGTTGTTCATACGGAAAGTAACAAAATATTTCATGAATAATAATGTTACGAATAAATTCTGCACAGATAACAGGATGGTGATTACCAGAGGGAAAGGGTTATGGGGGTAGGTAGAAAAGGTGTAAAGAGGAGATAAATGGTGGCAGAAGGAGATGTGACTTTAAGTGGTAAACACACAATAGTCAGATGATGTATTATAGAATTGCACGCCTAAAATCTACATAATTTTCTTAAACAATGTCAACCCAATAAATCCAATAAAGTTACTGACTCAGTTGGTAGAGCGTCAGCCTGCGCACTGAAGGTTAAGGGTTCGATTCCCAGTCAAGGGCATGGACATGGGCTGCAGGTTTGATCCTCAGCCCTGGTCAGGGTGCATGTGGGAGGTAACCAATCAATGTGTGTCTCTCACCACCACCCCCACTCTCTCTAAGTCAATGGAAAAAAATATCTTTGGGTGAGGATTAACAAAAAATAAAATAAATAAATGAATAATCTCTTTTTGTGTACTCACAACTGTAAGCCTACTTTTGCCCCACCCACTATGTGAGCAGAGGAGGAAAAAAATTGAAAAGAGGATAATGCTAAATTAAAAGCTAAGAATTCGGGTGCTGAGAGCTCTGCTGCTGGTACTTCATCAAGCAGATGCTCACACAGGTAGAAATGGCAACCATCTATGGCACAATTTGTTTGCTGAAACAAGAACTAAACACTATAGAAATGCTTGGATTATATGGTCTTGACTCAGGGGTGGGGCAGACAGACTAAAAACTAATAAAAAAAAGCAACTTAATAGAGGTAGCATCATAACTTACTACAAATTTGCAGAGAACAATCACTAAATAAAGGGATCCAGATAAATCAGAAATTCTCCTACTCATTAGAACAATAAATTGCTGGAGCAGTACACAATCTAAACAAGAACTAGTCAAATTAAAGATTATTTTAAATGAAACCAAATCTGCCTTTTCCACTTCTAACAATGGCTACTCCGCTCAAAAGAAATATGAGAGTGTTTTTTGTTTTGTTTTTTTTAACTCACCACCACCAGATTTCTCATCAACAGTATCAATTATCACTCAATTTAAAGGGTGGAAATATGTTAAGCATCAGAATCAGGGGTAAAACAAAGGAATACCTTAAAGATATCTTCCTGAACAAAACTGATAAATTGTTCAGGAACAGAGACTGGGAACTAGCATACCCACAAATTCTATGCCCCAAAGTCATTTTATTTCTTTTTAATTTTTTTTTTCTTTATTGATTTTAGAGAGAGGGGAAGGAAGGAAAGAGATAGAAACATCGATGAGAGAGAACATCGACTGGCCACCTTCTGCATGTCCCCGACTGGGGATTGGGACCACAACCTGGACATGTGCCCTCACCAGGAATCGAACCACTGAGCCACACCAGCCGGGCTCCTTTCTTAATTGTATACCCAAAAGACTGCATGTACTTAGAACAGGAATTATATATTTCCAATCATAATTTAACTGCACTTCACACCAGACTTTATAACAACATTATTTTTGTTCTTGAAAATAAGGATTTTAACTCATAAGGTAAATTACTATAACTGGAATCTCATATGAATAAATTCTGCTAATTCAAATCTCTAAATTTACTTAGGTTAATTTGATTCAAGCAGAAAGAAACCTATTAATGCAAATAGTAACTTACCTGGACCACTGTTTACAAAAGGTCTACGTAAAAAAAAAAAAAAAAAAAAGTGCAGGATTATCAAGATAATTTAAAATTCCTACCAAAAAAGAAATTAATTAAATGAACACTAAAGAAGGAAAAGGTTACGCACTTCCAATTTATGCTCTTTCTCTGCAAGGGCTTCCTTTTGACAACGAAGAAAATCTGCTAACATTCGAGTGAGTTGTTTCCTATCATCTATTTCAGCCGCCAATCTGCCATTGTAATCTGCCAGCAACATACAAGCATCCTCTACCATTTTAGAAAGCCTTTCTCCAGATTCTTTATCTAAGAAAAGCACAGAATAATAAAATTATTACAAAACATAAACAATGCCATATACTGTTCCCTCAACCCAAACCTCCCCCCAAATTCAGATCACATTTAGGATGTCTTACCTGTTATTTTATCTAGTAGGGATACTTCCTGAACTTCAACAGGCAAAGAAGCTATTCTCTGATGAACTGCTGCATCACCTGAAGCAGCATTTTCTAGATCTTGTAATGCTCTAACGAGATCTAGAGTCTAAAAAGTTATGCAACTTTAGAACCAAAATAAATGAAGCTTAAATAAATACAAAAGATGACATTTATTTCATATTTCTTAATCCTTATAGGCTACTTACTAGTTTGAAGTTTCAAATATCAACTGCTTTAGAAGACACTCCATTTCTTTCATATATTACGAAAAAGAAACTACACTATGGTAGGTACTGGAAATATATAAATTATAACATATAACTGGCCCTTGGCCGTGAGGAACTCATACTCCAGTGGTGAAACAGATAGTGTAAAAATAATTATCTGATTATTAAATTGATGTGATTGGTTTATGTGCCAAATACACACAGTGGTAAAAGGATAGGCTATGACTTTAACCTGGAGAATACAAGTTTTGTGTATGATATATTTATTATATTATCATTATACATCAGATTTTTAAAATATGAAATTGAATATTGGGGAGGGGGATACAAATCATCTTTCACAACACAGAAGAGTCTCCTAGACTCCATTTCTAAATGATATAATTAAAGCACAAGAAAAATGTAGTTTTGGAATATGCTTAAATATGGTATCTTCGATTATTCTATCGTTTATTAGAAGATCATTAAAATATTACCAAGTTCCATATATTTGATGACTAATATTTATATAATGCTTAACCAGTATAAAAAATGATTTTATTAGAATAGTTTAGTTGCATTGTTTCATATGCTAGCTGTAATTAGGAGGGAAGGGCAAATCTTTGCTGGTGATTATACAATTCATAATGTCTACAAACTTATTCCAAACAAAAATGACTAATTTTTCTTTTTACTAGTCTCCATCCCTTCCCACCTCCTTTCTTTTCTTTACTTTTTTTCCCCTTAATCTCTAAAACTAGATCCCGGGACACTAGGTAATTATACACATACTTGAAAAATACAGGAAATCACTGATTCTGTATATATATTAAGATGACACTGACAGACAGTTACTGATTTTTCTTTAAGTTATTCCCTTTCAAAAAATGCTATCACTGGAGTCTAACACATAGCAAATGATTAAACATCGTAAGAAGGAATGGAACCCAATAAGAAATAAGTGTACTTTTAATTCATTACTATATGTTTCAAATTCCAATATTTAAAAAAATAATAATTTCATTATAAGATATATCCCTTCTACAATTGGGTGCCCCAATTCACATACATATACAGGGGTGAACAAAAGTAGGTTTCAAGTTGTGAGTACACCAAACAGTTTGTTCTTGTATTATTATTTGTTAATTATTTTATTATTTTCCATACGAACAACTATAAACCCACATTTGCCCACCCCTGAGTGTGTCTGTACACATATATAATTTTTCCATCAGTCCTGGAGAGTTCTAAAATTTTCTGGAATTCTAAGAAGCCTGGCTTTATGGTCTTTACAATGCATGCATACATGCATGCTTTAACTACAACTTATTCTCATCACATCTTCACATTCCCACGTGAGTTAATTCTAAGTTTCCAGTGAAGGCTCAGATAAGAAAGCAAAGTTGTCTGAAACAACACTAGCCTAGGACTGTGTAATAGAACAGAATGAAATGAGTTCAACTGGATCCTACAAAGAAAGATTTTAGTCATTCTTATAAAGAATGACATAAAATGGTGACTACAAAACTGAACCACTGAGAATTAAACAGCACAACTAATCTGAAAGTGGTCAATAAAAAATGAAAAGCAACAAAATTTAAAGAAAATAAAAAAAGGAAAAGCAAAAATATGTATACAAGTACTAGAGAAGAAGCAGATGGTTACTCAAGTATACTCCTCAGAAGTATATTTGAGGTTACTCTTTCATCAGGGACAGTAGGAGAGGGTCAGACCCTATGTCTAGAACACAGATAAACCACTGTTCATGTAATCATAATAAAGCTTTTAACACAAAGTGATTCTCTTCTTTCCAAATGGACAGAAATATAAACCTCAGCATTTGGCTGTTTCTAATGTTATGTTCTTATTACTTTTTTATCAAGCTCTTATCCATGGTGATCACATGGACTTTTATATTCCTGTCACTGAATCAACAGGTAGCTTGGCTCAGGTCCTAGTTGAGCACCTTGGTCAGATTCTTTCTGTCTCCCTAGTACTAACACTGATATAAATCCATAGTTCTAGGAAGTAATTATACCTTTCTTTCAAGCTCCCGTCATAGGGAAACAGCTCTACCCAGCCTCTGATTTTATTCAGTGAGTTTGGATCCAGTCCTCCTACTCCCATGGAGCACTGTGAGTTCTCGTTACCCACTGGGATACTAATTTCTGGCAACCCATGTCTGCTTCCAGATCAAAGCTCAGCAGGAACTAGGCTCTAGCTCACATACTGAGTTATGTTTCTGTACCATTTCTAGCCCACCATGATATTTACCTTGTTTTAAGAGTATGGCTATGTCTTCATTTTCTCCTTTTAAATTTTATCTGTCCCTCCTATATGTTTGAAACATAGAAGGAGGAAGCTTTAAGACTCAATGCCCACATAATTAAAAGTTAAAAATGTCTTTCTGGAATCATCTAATGGTTAAGGAGTGCTATACTGGTTGGTATAACCTGAGAGGATATGGAATATTAACTTGATGATTCTAATCCTTTTATCTTACCATGAAATTATATGGTCCTATTATAGTCACACAGAACTGTATGAATACATACTCGTTACTCTAACACTTGTTTTTACATATTTAAAAGCAAAAATACTTAAAAGGGCAGTGTTATCTCTAGGAATAAAAATTTTAGTGTACTTAAGTCATACAACAAGTAGTCTTATATAATGTTTTATTTATTTAAAAGGAAACTGTTTAAATAGTGCATTTCTCACCAGATCTAATCATACAAAGCAATCAGAAATCCTTTCTATGCAAAACGATTGCCTTAATATGCAATACACAACATATTACATACAACATTTATAAGCAATCTGTTAATCAGAAAATACAAAGTATTCATGTAGCTTCTTTCTTATACCCACAACTATGATAAAAATCAATTTATAATAGTAAACACTGAAATTAATAAAGCTTGGTGGCCACATTAAGTAACTCCCTTAACAGAGAACAACTTCTACCTGTGGTGGTTCACTTGGAGATCCCAGAGAGGAACAGTTTTCATTTTCATCCACCTTTATCTGTTCATAAGTTCGCTTCCTAGATTTCTTATCACCATCTGAATTGTAAGAAAATTTAAGTTTTAATGAAAGAATACATTCTGTTGTTCCGCTTATTTATGCATTCATTGGCTGCTTCTTGTATAGGCCCTGGCTGGGACTGAGCCTGCAATCTTGGTGTATTGGGACAACACTCTAACCAACTGAGCTACCCCACCAAGGCTTAATGAAGAACACATTTTAATGAAGAGATCATGATAAAAGATTATGTACTTACAGAGAGCTTGCTTAAGTTGTTCTAATACATCATTTTCATAAACAGACCTTTCTTCCCAAATAGATAACACTCTTCCAAGATGCTTCTTACAACTTTCATCAGTTTCACTAAAGAAAAAATAAAAATATTAACAGTAAAAATGCATATTGCTATTGGAAAGATCATGGTGATTTTAAATACAATCAGACACTCGTTTCCTGAAAAGAGTTGTCCAAATGTTTACTGGGCACCACTATGTGACCAGCAGTTCAGGGGTGCAATGAGCAAGACAGACATTACTTCTTGTTTCCCTGAAAGAGCTTAGACCTATCATTAAACAAAAAAAAAAAATTACAACAAAGAAACGCAAATGTGTTAGTACTGGCTACGAGGGTAACAAAGAAGATGCCCCTAACATAAGGTGCTGAACATAAGGCTAAGGAAGCTTTCTAATAGGTGACGTTGAAATTTATTCAACAAATATTTATTAATCAAGGCATTATCTTTGACACAGGAGATACCAAGAAGCTTTATGGCAGCTGTTTTTCTAAGTGCCACAAAAGAGAACAAGGTATTAAAGACAGGCATAACAGAGAGACCTGGCCCAGTTCTAGAGACCAGGAAGGTATTTGAGGAAGTGATACTTAATTTGAGCTCTGAAGACTGGATATACAGGGAAGTGGGAAACAGACGACTCCCAGGCACATCCTACTGCTGTCATCACTAACACTGTAGATTGAGCCACTATCATCTCTAGCCCGTATTTTTTAAGTCTTCCCATTGGTCTCTCAAACTCTACTCTTTCACTGTTCTCTACCAACATAAATCAGACCACAATGATTTTCTAAGAGCTGTCAATCATACCAACAATAAACTCAAAATCCTTATCCTGGGCCACAAGGTGGATATGTTCAGATCCCTGGCTACCTCTCAGTCCACATTCCCTAAATATCTTCTCCCATACAAATCTCCTTGCTGATCCTCAAACATGTCCAGCACACAGCTGTCTCAATGTTTCTGCCAAGTATGTTCTCTCCTTAGAATCCTTTCCCTCCTAAATAGTCACATGGCTCATTTCATCCTTTCCTTTAGACTCTGTTGAAATTCCACCTCCTCAAAATAGTCATATTTTATCTCATGATAGAACTGAGCACTGTCACATATCACTAGTTCCTTCCCTGCTTTATGTTTTTTCACAGTTACTTATCTTTAAACATTTTAATATAGTTATTACCTGTGTCATTCACTGAAATGTTAAGCTCCACTAGAACAGAAATTTGTCTTGTTCACTATTGTATACTCCAGGCCTAGCACACAGTAGGCAGTCAATAAATATTTTATTGAATTCTAGGGAGATACAGTATCTATACAAGCTTTAAGTCAGAAATAAATAAAAGAGTTTGGTTAGCTTAAACTGTAGACTACAGAGTATTGCGTGGAAGGAATGTGAGAAAGGAGTTTGAAGAGGTAGACAGGGTAATGAAGGAACATCTTTCTTTTTAAATTTTAGAGAGGGAGAAAGGGAGGGAGGGAGGAGGAGGAGGAGGAGGAGGAGGAGAGAGAGAGAGAGAGAGAGAGAGAGAGAGAGAGAGAGAGAGAGAGAGAAACATTGATTTCTTGTTCCACTTATTTATGCATTCATTGGTTGATTCATGTATGTGCCCTGTTCGAAGATTGAACCTGCAACTTTGGCATAGTGGATGACACTCTAACCAACTGAGATACCTGACTAAGGATGAAGAAACATCTTAAGTCTTGCTCAGGACATTAGAATTGATCTCTAGGACAAATGAAAACCACTCCAAGACAAGCAATTATTATGATCAGCTTCACAACCCCTAAAAGGATTAAACGATACTGAAGGTTACTGCAATTATACAGAAATGACAATATGGTAAATGGAATGGAAAGAAATCTAAAGAACAGAGGGAACTATATATAGTTTATGGGATAAAGGGAGTGAAGGAGAATGGAGAGTATGATATATTACAAATCACAACATCACAGAGAGTTAAAGATGACACCTAATTTCTCACATGGGTATCTGAATAAATGGAGCTGTCATTCACTGAAAGAGTGAAACCCAGAGGACAAGCAATTTGACAGGGAGCACGGACATAATGAGTTCAATATCAGACACAGTGAATTTGAGTTGTTTGGAGGCATACAACCAGAAATTCAATAGGCAAGTGGACATACAAGTGTAAAAAAAAACATCTAGACTGGAGCATAAGATTGTGAGTTATTAGGGTGTACATGATAACTAAGTACATTCAGTGTATGAAATCATCCAGTGGACAAGTCAAAACTATGACCCCAGAAGAGGGCCTAGGACTGAACTCTAAGACTTAAATACCAACATCCGAAAAGATGGTAAAAGGGCAATATCTAGCCCAGCTGGTGTGGCTCAGTGTATTGAGCATCATCCTATGAACTGAGAGGTCGTGGTTCGATTCCCTGTCTGGGCACATGCCCTGTTGCAGGCTTAATCCTCAGTAGGGGGTGTGCAGGAGGCAGGTGAGCAATGTTTCTCCCTCACATCAATGTTTCTATCTCTCTCCCCCTTCCTTTCTCTCTAAAATGTCAATAAAAACGTGTATTTTTTAAAAGGGCAATATCTAAATTGAAGGATAATAATATTTATTTAAGAAAGCAACATGTAGCAGCATTTCACTCTGTGATTTTTAAAAAAATGCATCCAATGTGTCTAAAACTGTAGGGCATACAGTGAGTGCATCTTCTTAAATCATTCAACAAATCATCATTCACCACTAAATTCTACAATTTAGACTGATTTAGTAGTCTATCCCAATAATGTTTACCCAGTAAACATGTTTACCCAAATATTTGCATATAATGTTTAGAAATAAGCATTTTAAAAGGGCATAAGCCAAAGTAGAATCCTACCCTCAGAATCTTTCAGTAGCAAAATTTTTCAACAGGTTTGTGATTATTTAAATATTCTTTATTTCCAAAGCATTTAATAATGTTATGACATATATCCTCACAGTAGAAAAACCTTAAAATCATTATAAGCAATATGAGGAAAAAAGATACTAAGTTTATCCAGAATTATGAATTGGAATATTGATAGCTTTATAAGCCACAAATTTTCAATTCAATACCTTCATTCATTCTTAACAATGTTCATTCCAACATGGCAGTTGCTTTTGGTCTCTTTAAAGAAATCTGTTAGTTAAGTATTCCAAATGCCCACTTTAGCGAGAGTTCAAAAAAATTTTCTTCATAGAAAGTATAATACATTTACAAATGCCATTTATAGGTAAGTCTTTTCAAATGAAAACTTCAAAGAAATACATCCCTTGGTTTTTATTTTAATGACTTAAGACAACTTTAGCAAAAGGACATATTATGCATTTAAAACAGATTACCTAGTACCCAAAACAATAATCATACCTTGAAACATGCTTAAAAGCCTCCACTATAACTGGTGCAAAATCTTTTGTAAACTCCGGCCCCTTCCTTTTGCTGTTCTGAATGACATCATTGGCTAGGTAGAGAAAAGTAAGCTTCCTGTTTGGTTTAGCTGAAAAATAAAAAAATTTAAAAATCTACTTAAAATAGCCTCACTTAACTTGGACAAACTTTCTCAACACCTGATTTAAGCAGTTTGAGAACTATAACAAATCTACTTTTATTTATCATGTTCTACCCTAGCTTCTCATTCTACAACCAAACTTATCAAGTCACTATTCTTCAACTCACCAGGATAACTACTCTATGGTTTCTGGAGATCAATCATGAGAGTAAAAAAGAGAACTCAAGATGCAGAGGTAGTTTTAATGACATATCTTTCTGTTTCCTTGCAGGTTTACTGTCACCCAAAGTACTTTTTCTTGATAGCTAATCTCATCGCTACTCCCAAACTAATACTTTTATACAATGAAATCCTCATGTCTATGTAAAAATGCATCTCTGTGGCTCTATCCTGTATAAATTTTATTAAAACTATTAAGCACTATATGAAATCCAGTCTTTTAAAAATAATTCACAAATAAAAAAATCAATTACAAGGCTTCAAAAAACAGACTCTGAGATATTAGATAAACAATATGAAGCAAACTTAATCAGGATTACAAAAATGCCACCTAATTTCACTAATTCGGGATCAATTCATAATCTAGTTTTATTTATTCATAATCAGAAAGTGTTAGCTTTACAGACCATATACCTACTCATTTTGATATAATGCAGAGTATCATAATCTAACTGAATCACCCACATTTCCATGGGGATTGAAATTTAAAACCACAGAAGATAAAGCTGATAAATACAACAAATGGCTAAAATTCTTTTGTGTTATCTAAAAATATAAGAACCCTCTTTCCAGGGGAAGCTTTCTACCTGTAGAGAAGCAGCAAAAAAAAAGAAAGAAAGAAAGAAAGAAAATCTCACACACACACAAACACACCAATAAGCATTACTGTAGGTCGTATAGCAGAAAAGCCAATATCTTGAAACAAAAACATATTAAATATTTATTAATAATTTCTGGACAGCCTCATTTATTCCTCTGATAAAAGTAAATCACTATAGAAGACATGTTTGATAGATGGATGGGGGTTATAAGGCACAATCTATTATAACTTAGTAATATTCTTTGCCACAGAAAATGCATAATCAACAGGTAATTCTTAAAAGGACTTTATTTGTCCCAGACTAGACAGAGAATTCAGTCAAACACAGCTGGATGCTTCTTAATAGCTGAGGTGGGTGAAAAATGGATAAGAGCCAGTATATTCCTGTATCACTGCCAGAATGCCTCAGACTTTTGGCAACCTATCCCTTGCTTTAACTCCTTTAAAGATTTACTATTGTTCTCCAGATAACATTTGAACTCATTATTATGGACTAAAGACCCAAAAGGGTCTGTCTCTACTCTCTACACTACCCACTACTACTATTACTCCAATTTCCTCAACTCCTATCCACCCTTCAGATCTCAGATAAATGGTTCCTCTACACATAGGTTAGGCAGCCCTGATATCTCTCATAGCAGCCCATACTTTTCACATGGTGCTCTTAACCCAACTATAATTATTTTTATTTAATCTAGTGCTTCCCAACTAAACTAAGTACCAGTGAAAGCAACAACTATCAGTCTCCTCTACCAATCTATGAAAAGCCCAGCAGCTGATTCAGAATTTGCTCAGTGTTTGCTATGTCAATAAATTTTTGCCTAGACCTGTGTCTTTAATTATTTGTTCCATGAACTTGGCTTCAGGTCTTACCCTCTCCCTGCAGAGCTGAAATTACACTGCTTTCAGAAAACTCAACATTAAATTCAAATTAGGAAAGACAAACTTGCCTATAGATCCAGTTGCTCTTGCTTACTTTCTTTTTTTTTTTTTTTTGTTTTGTTTGTTAATCCTCTCCCGAGGATATTTTTCCATTGATTTATAGATAGAGAGAGACAAATCAATTGGGTGCCTCCTGCACGACCCCTACCAGGGCCGGGGACCAAACCACAACCGAGGTATGTGCCCTTGACCAGAATTGAACCCACAACTCGTTGGTCCATAGGCCAATGCTCTAAATGCTGAGCCAAACTGGCCAGGGCTGCATATATATTTTTTCATAGAGATTGCCAAATTACTTTTTAAAAAAAATAGTTTTTTATTGATTTTTTTTTTTAGAGAGAGAGAAAGGGAGAAGTGGGTAGAGAAAGAGATAGAGAAACATCAATATGAGAGAGAAACACTGATCATCTACCTCCCATACACACTCTGACTGGGTGCCCAACCAGCAAGGTTGGCATATGCCCTGACTGGGAATTGAACCAGCAACCTTTTGGTGCATGGACAGTGCTCAACCAACTGAGCCACACAAACCAGGGTGCCGAGTTACTTTTCTGAGACATCAAACTAATTTATATTTTAACTACCAATATCTGAAGGTATCTAATGGTGGTAGTCTCACCCATATTCTTGCCAATTTTAGTTAGTGCCATACTTTCATCTTGATCAATCTAATAGGTAGAAAATGATATCTGGTTTTGTTTTTTTGATATTTTGCTCAGATAGGGAGGGAGGGAGGGAAGAAGGGGGCTGAGAGAGAGAGAGAGAGAGAGAGAGAGAGAGAGAGAAACATCGACATGAAAGGGACACATCGAGTGGCTGCCACCCACACGACCCAACCAGGGCCAGGGACAAACCGCAACCGAGGCACATGCCCTTAGTGGGAACCGAACTCAGGTCTCTCCAGACCGCAGGCCGTCACTCCAACTGCTGAGCCAAACCGGCCAGGGCGATAACTGGTTTTAATTGCTTAACATTTGTATTTCTTTGACCTTTCCTTCACAGTAATTACCTGTTTTTTAATAGGTTACTGATTTGTGAGAACTCTGGGATGGAGGGGAGGAAATGAAAATATTTGAATTCAGTACATTAAAAATAAGCAAGCCCTGGCCGATGTGGCTCAGAGGTGACAGCGTCAACCTGCAGACCAAAGGTCTCGTTTTCAATTGCCAGTTACCTGAGTTGCAGGCTTGATCCCTGGCTCGGGTGGAGGTTGTGCGAGAGGCAACCAATCAATATCTCTCACAGTAATGTTTCTCCCCACCCCCACCCCCGCCCCTTCCACTCTGTCTGAAGATAAATAAAATAACATCCTCAGGTGAGGGTTAAAAAAAAATGTACATGCACAAATCCCCTGACCCAGCAAATCTCACTTCTAAGAATTTATATTATTGATATATTTTCATAACTGCACAAAGAAATCATTTAGGATATTCATGATAATATCAAGAAAGAGATGACTAAAATCATGGTACATCCACACAATCCAATCTACAGCTATTTAAATATGAGATATTTACATACTGATACAGAAAGATGCCCTGGCCGGTTTGGCTCAGCGGTTAGAGCGTTGGCCTGCGGTCCAGAGAGACCCGGGTTCGGTTCCCGCTAAGGGCACGTACCTTGGTTGCAGTTTGTCCCCGGCCCTGGTTGGGTCGTGTGGGTGGCAACCACTCAATGTGTCGCTTTCACGTCGATGTTTCTCTCTCTCTCTCTCTCCCTCTCACTCTATCTGAACAAAATATCGAAAAATGTCCTCGGGTGAGGATAAAAAAAACAACAACCAAAAACAGAAAGATATCTAATACCTAGTGTTAAGTTACACACCTACATATAACCATACACACACAGTAAATAGCTCTACTGTGGGAAATGGCAAGAAAGAATCTGGGAGTGAGGGAAGGAGTTAAGAGTTACCAACAAAGAACTGTCACAAAAAGGAAATACATGAGTTACATATTAAATGATTAGATTAAGCCTACATGCTGAAAAAGGCTCCTGGTGCTCCACCGATTTACTTTGTCCTGCAGTTGCATTTATCCACAGTCTTTCCTGGTTCAGCACTTGGTTAAAAAACAAAACAAAAACGCCACCTAGGCTCAGACAAACGGACATCTTTCCAATTCTAAAAGACCAAGAAAATTCAAGTCCCTGAAATAATTTTAGAAACCTTGAGTTCAGTATATGCAACAAATGAATTTTTAAAATTTTCAAAATAACAAACTTCATCCCAAACCATTAGACCACTATGGAAGACACTGTCAACTGTAAGAGTTCTATAAGAAAAAAACATCACACTGTTTATTCACATTATGCTTTTAGTGTAGAATTGAGAATAAAATATTTTGCACTTTTGAGACTATTTTAAAAATATATTCACCTAGGCCCTGTTCTAAAAGTTTGTGTATCTCATTTAATTTTAAAACCCTATAAAGTAAGTTATTATCCCTATTTACCAATGAAACAAGTATTAAAATAATTAAATGCACTCAAAGAAATGCACTAAAATCAATTAAAATTGCCAGGACTCACACTGTGGTTCCTAAATAACACTTTGCTAATAAAACCAGGAAATACTTTTCACCATATATCAAACCATCATGCTGTAGTCCTTAAACATACACAGTGATGTATGCCAATTATTTCTCAATAAACTGGAGTGGTGGTGGGGATACATTTTAAAACAGGCAGGAAATACATGAGATGAGCCTGGAATATCCTGTCACAAGAAAGCTATTTAAAAAACTATTTACATTGTATATAAATGACCCATGCAACCCTCCAAGAGGCTGGCACTGGACAAAGAACATTTAAAAGAATGACTACAGTAGTCTGAAACACAAATAAAAATCCATAAATTTAAAAAATACTTTAAAAAAGGTTGCTGACTTCCGGTCAAAATGGCCGCGTAGGTAAACACAGTATCACATGCTCCCACAACCACATCAAAGTTACAACTAAACTACAGAACAACCATCATTCAAAACCGCCTGAAATCGAGCTGAATGGAAGTCCTACAACTACGGAATTAAAGAAGCAGCCACATCCAGACTGGTAGGAGGGACGGAGGCACGAGGGGCGGAGGGGCTGAGGGGCTGAGGGGCTGAGGGGCTGAGGGGCTGAGGGGCGGCAGCTCAACAGGCTGGTCCCACACCCAAGTGTGGTGGATAAAAATCAGGAGGACACCTCGGTGGGGAAGGTCCTTCCTGAGGACTGAGGGGTCCCCGTC